TGAGTTTAAATTCCTCAGTGAAATAAGTAGCCCTTTCTCTCACACTGTTCTTCTCCGCAGACTCAGAGAGATCGTCCCAGTACTGGAACTCATCACTGGGAGTCAGGATGCCTGAAAGATTGGAAAAGAAATACGAGTACATAGTTTGAAAATCATAATGTATCTTTGTTGTTATCAATTAAGAGTTGTTGTTTTTATTTCTTTACTAGACAGCCTCCTTTAAAACGTGAACAAATGCAGCCACTACACCACCGTGCAGCCGTATTTCATAAAACCACATGCTTAATGTTAAGTCCCTCCAAAATCCAACTGTTTGTAAAAAAAAAAATATATATATATATATATATATGCAGCTTCTATGATCATTCTGTATGCACTACAACCCAGACCTGTGTATTTGTTTCTGCAGAAATATATTCATGCCTACCGAGAACATCTTCCTCTGTGCGGCCCCTCTTGGAGGGCTGTGCTCCAGACTGGCGGACCACTGAGCCCAGGCCAAGCTCCAGCTCACTCAGCAGGCCGGCCAGCTTCGGGTCAAATGCTGAACTCCAGCGCTCATCCTAGAGAGAGAGAGGTGAAAGAGAGAGAGAGAGAGAGAGGTGAAAGAGAGAGAGAGGTGAAAGAGAGAGAGAGGGGGAAGAGAGAAAGAGGGAGAGAGAGAGAGAGAGAGAGAGAGAGAGAGAGAGAGAGAGAGAGAGAGAGGTGAAAGAGATAGATTCTTTTTAAAGTTTTGGATTAAATAGACTTGTTTTGTTATTAATCTCTTAATCAAAAGCTTTAGGGGAAAACACTTTAAAAGTATTTATGTACATCATAGTGGTGTCGTAATATCTATTTACAATGTGTTTGCAATTATGTCAAGTTTTTCTTTCTTTTCAATAATAGTCAGGGAGAGCGCTTATTTCTCAAAATAAGAATATAGAAAATATTTTTACTAATTCCAACTTGAAATGTGTTCAGAAATTGTACATCCTCCTACAGATTTGTTGGCTATGTGGTCTAGCAGAATCTACCACTGTGGTTAATGTTACTACTAAAGCCTCCATCTTTCAAAAAGCCTCTGTGGAATTCATTAATACACAGAGACAGGCTTACCTTCAGCAGTACAGGCGCAAAGACTTGTCTTAAAGCCTGGTAGAGGGTGTTGATGGGAGACTCCAGCATAGACGACACAAGGAGGCTGTGGTGAAGATTGTCTTCTGTAATCACTGTGGGATGCAGCTTGAAGAACACCAACACCTTCTCTTTGCTGTCCCCCGATGCTCCAGTCTGACAAAGGAAGATGAAATATTTAAAAAAGGATCATTGTCAAGTCGACTGTTGTTACGTGTTATGATCTGCACATGTACATGTACATGCTACCAGGCGTTTAGTTTGACACACACAGTGAAAAAAAGGTTTTTTTGATCAAATTATTTCACATGGATAGTTTAATACGCTCTAGGAAACATTGTAATGCTTTTAATATTTGTTACCTTATTTGACAAGTGAAGCACGCTGTCATGTCTACAGACGGACAGGACAAATTCATTTCCATCGTCCAAGAAGTTATTGAGCTCTGGGCTGTCAAGCAGAGACGGTGAAGCCTTTATCCCATAGAAGTTTCCACTGGTGGTCAGGATGAACTGTTTGCGAGCATCATCTGAACCGTGGGGCATCTTTCAGCTGCAATGATGTACTGATGCTCAGAAAGCTGTACAAAAAAATAAAACTGTAAATTACCACACTTTGGGAGGGATATATGGCTGCTATTGTGTAAAACAGAGACTCATACAAATCATTTTTTGACGTCTCATGGTTATTACTGTAGATTTAATAAATGTGCCATTTTAGGACCAGGCTAATTACTGCATCAGGAGACAAACTGGGGCCATATCAGGCTTTGACTTCAGTTTATGTTGATTCTTGCGTTGGTTACGCCGACACAGAAATAAAGAAATAGTATTAAGACAAACACATACTCATCCAACTTTTCCGGTTCAATGTCTTTGCAACTAACTAACCCAGTGAAGTGATGTGTTTGAGCAGCGCTAACCACTGCTGGTATCGCTGCTAAACTGTTAGCTAACTATACCATCTTAAATGTGCTAACGTTAACGTTAGCTTATAAAACCAGCATGCGTCCAGACAGTCTTCTGGCTCTTTTAACGTTACATGGGAAGAACTAAAGTAGTTATGCTGCAGCATTAGCTTTAACTAAGTTCGGCAAATGACACCAGCTAGCTTGCTAACGTTAGCTCGCCACGTCTCTAAAATAAAGTTGCGCATTTTAGCTTACGCTAGCTGGCTTGACTTCAGCACGCTAGCCAACTAATAGAAACCTTGGCTGCATACCGTTTTTTTCACCAAATGTTCCACTATCGGAGCTTTTTTGGTAACTCAAATCATGGATGAGAGCTTTAGCAATCCGTTACTAGCGCCTGTGTGTAGGTAAGATTATGCTTGCGAGGTTACCAGGCAACTACGATCACTTGTACCACATGACACAGCGGAACCTATAAACGGGACTAGAAACTTACGCAGTGTCCTTACGCCATTTGCTTAGGATAGCTGCTCAGACAGGCAGTTTCAGCCGTGGTTAAGCTAGATAACTTTTTTCCTCATATAGATCTATTTTAAGAAGCACAAGATATATATATATATATATATATATATATATATATATATATATATATATATGTATATATATAGCAATAATCTCAACTGCGTCTTAGAGTTTCCCAAAGAGACAAGCAGATAGCGGATACCAGTGCCAACTGCAGAATTTGCAGCAGCATGCAGTGCTATATATTTGCTTCTAACACTAACATATGTATTGGGCATTTGCTTTAGTTTAGGGGAGCACTTTTTAGACAGGAAGCTACTGAAGAAAGGTGGTAGTATATGTGAGATTGTTCTTGAGTTTCAAAATCCCCCATACAATGAGAACTGATTTGTTTAACTATTTTGCACATTTGGTTATGTTCGTAAAGCCTTTCCTCCCACATACTGCCCACTGACCAACAACTCCCTGAAAACCACTGAAGCAAGGCTGTAAGGGGTCCTATGGGTGTTAACTTCTACATTAGCTTATACAGTTGATTTTCTATAAGGCATTGTCATCTATTTTGTAATACATATGTACGATTCATTGAGTGAGAAGGAGGCTCTACTTTCTGGGTACTTTTTGTCAAATATTTCAGGGATACACATGGAAAATCCCACTTATTCCTTGTATCTTCCCTAAATTCTTCTTCTAAATTAAGGACTGACAGTTTTCCTGTAATCAGCATTTCCACTCCCAGGTGGGATAAACCTTTTCTAAATGGGGTTACAGGTATAAACTCACAAAACCTAAGGTAACGTTTTCTAACCTCTTTTCACAAGGTCAATTAAAACTGTAAGTGGGTAAAAAACACTTTATTATGTAAATCTTTATTCCTAAAATGTCAAAGTAGATATTAAATTAGATTAGAATAGAAGTTAATACATTAGAGACTGTCCATTTAGTATACTCACTTCAATTAGCTGGGACCCTTGCAAATTCCGAACATATTGAATGGTGATTAACAGGAATTGAATGGCTAACGAAAAGGGACAGTACATATTTTAATATTTGTCATTAAAACAAATTGCCATAACAAAGCGATTGAAAAACAGTAGTGAAAAGATGTTCTACCGATGTGACAGAAGAACAAAGAACAAACTTGAATATGAAACACTTTGAGGTTAGCTGCAGATGTTTTCCGGGCAGACCAGCTGTGGGAGTGTACTGTATGTTTAGAGAAGCACACAACCTGTATCCAAGAAACAGCATTCGAGAGGCATCTGAGATATTGTGGGACATTTTCACCACAAATTGGAAGATGGCAGATTAGAGATAAAGGCTGTGATGAAAAAAAACTACACACAATGCAATCACACATTTTCTTACAATCTTAAATTTGGCATCATACTGCTGTATTTCACACTAGAAAGTTATTCTTAGTGCCCTAAGTGGTTACATTTACAGCCCAAAAAAGGATGAATATTTATTGATTCGTCACCCTGAAACAGATCAGATGGCATACTTATTATTGCATTGACTCTCTGCTTTCACAATATTAAATAATTGTATTACGTACCCAGTCTCTTAAACACTGTTTTTTTCTCAGTGGAAAATAATTGTCTCCACTTGGGTCATGCCCAAAGTAAAATTGTGCAATAATGGTACACCGTGTGATTAAACTAAGTGAAACTGTGTTCTCTAGTTCCTTCTTCCCTCTCACTGAGAGTTGCTCAGTTCGGTCAATTGCGCCATATTCCGAAACTCATCATTTAAAAAACAAACAAAACAAACATAGCAGCAGAATATTATGGATGTGGCAGTGCTGCTTTCTGCCATGATAAATGATTGTTATCTCTCCTAAATAATCGACATATGGTCAGATGAGACTTAGCTGGAAAGCAGACAGGGAAGTTCATCACGCTTCCTGATGTTTTCTGTGACATGGAATAACTGAACAACACATACACGTGAACTCATACAACCCTCACACCCTCACAATTCTGTGGAAGCCCACTTTAGGCTGCTCAACAGTAAGCTATATATTCAAAATGAATCTCAGAAAAACAATTATTAGTTACATATATTACATTTGCTACTATCGATCTTTTAAGAAAATAGACATAATGACATGTCACAGCAGGAAGAGCACAGGTGTACATAATAAATTGAACAATAGCTGAATTCCATTTAGCTGCTTCAGTTTCAGGGTCCTGAAGTAATACATGCTGGCTCACTGTAGCACTGCCAAGGCTGCCTGGGACACTTGAATAGAACAAATCCATTGTTTATGTAATTAATAACACATGTGCCTATGCTCTATCAAAGATACAACACGTTTTCTTCATATAAAACAGGACTCAGGCTCAGGTTGACCTCATAGATTACTCATATGATGACTCACTCAGCTCCACCCATTCTTGTTTGTATGAAGAGGAAGTCCCTTTCTCTCACTCTCTCAGACTGACAGAAAGCTTCACAGCACGATGGTGAGTTTGTCCTCCTCTCTTTTACTTGTCTCTTTTGAAAACGTATTTTATCGTTGTCTGTCGAGTGTGTGTGTGTGTGTGTGTGTGTGTGTGCGTGTTTAGGTGTGTGTGTGTGCGCGTGTGTGTAGGTGCGTGAACTCAATCAAAGCCTTCCCAGGAAGGGTCGCATGTTTTAGCCACAAGTAAACTAAACCATAGTAGAAAACCTTTTTGGCCTCTGCAAGATTGACTATCTTACAAAGGGAATAATATGTGCAAAAAAGCACTGCTGATATATATATATATATATATATATATATATGTATGTATATATATATATGCACATTATATTAAATTTGACTTATTTACTCAGTTTGTGTGTATAAGTGACCAAGAGAGAGTGAAACATATTGAGTGTGTTAAAAGTGTAAATACTTGTATTTGTTGATTTCACACATGACTGGTTTATGGTCATCGAGTGACTTGTGTTGAGGAAAGCCTACATTCCGGGAATGCTGATTCATCACAAAACAGTTATCAACATGACGCTGTTTCTTGAAGCTGTGTAGCAGCCAACACAAAAGGTCCTCTCCTATTTTGACCCACAGCAAATATCACACAGCTCACACATTAGAAAGACATGAAAATCAATGTGAGATGAGATAAAGCAATGTGTGGAACTGGTGTGTGGTTTCGTAGTATATCTGATTGGCAAAAGGCAGGCATGTGTGTATTGCCTCGAAACAATGCAGCAGGGTGAGTAGTGCTTTGTAAATCATGTTACGTCATGTGGGAATCCCTACTCCAATAAAGCCTCACTGTGTAAATGTTTGATGGTCATAGTAGACAGAAGTGATTTCATGACACATACAACTCAAAGTCAATCATAATGCTCAAACGATCCTCTCTGCTTTGCCATATCTTTAGTTTACTCACTTGTACACAATACATTAAACCATACACTGTAGCCTCAAAAGTATGCCATGGTGTTGACTCACAGAAATTAAAAAAAATATATATCACATTCAATACTGAAGACATGACACATTCAATGCTGAAGAAGACATGATGACTGATGGTTATTTTAATAATGAGTCAAGAATGTCACAGTTAGGAATGTATCTTCCATGATCCATCTGGTATCACTTCAACTGAAACTAGACACCGATTACAGTCCGTTTATAATCATATGGCCTTTGGGAATTCCCTCAGATGTGGTTTCTGTCAAGGAAGACACTGCTGCTTATTATGAAACACGGTGTACGTTGTGGTTTTCCCCCTAGGAGCCTTTTTTTCTATGTTATTTTTGTTACAAAATGAATAAACAAAAGAATAATAGAAGGCACTGTCTTAAGTGCGCATGTACAGGAATACACCCTTCGGCAGAGCAAAATGAACGGGCTTTCTCAGATACTGCACGGGGAATTTCCTCTATCTTGGTGTCTGTTGAAAACACTCTTTGGATGTTTTCTTTCAGGGTGACAGAAATCATTTTCCTTTGCAAAACTGACTGTCAAGGGCCAGCTAGATATTTCACTTAAGATTGCATTTTGTTTGTGTATACATTCAAGAGGCCGTGTTTACTGTATGAATGCAGAGTTTGAATTTACAAAGCGTGCAAATTTAAAAAGAATCAGTGACAATTCATGGTACTGTGAACTGATTTAAAAGATACCAAATCAAAAAAGAATCAGTGCTATCACAGTGATTAACTCGTTTGTTTTTTCAACAGGCATCACTTTGCAACCGACATTTTCAGTAAGTACCCCAGCCTTTTTCTATTACCTCGTGATTTTGAGCAGTAGACATGACAATGCTACGACTATGTCTATTTTTAAATGATCTGCGTAATCTACCATGATCACAGCGTTAGATATGATGTCATCAGTAAACAGTGTGACCTGAACTCCAACCCTCAACACTTTTGAATGTTCATTTGGGTGAGGCGCCTAAGATGATTTCCACAGATGAGCCAGTGATGTAGTCATTAGTATTAACGTGGTCTATGTGAGTGTTACAGTCAAGACACTGAATACTTCCTGATTCAAACTCCCTCTCCTTTTAAAACGCTGGCAGCAGTTTTACTGTGAGCCAACCACAACAGATTGACAGGAAACAACTAAAACAAATTTCCAACAATTATCTGTCTAAGAATTACCATACAGGCTTTAAATCTAATAATAACCTAATGAGTTTATGACCCTGCATCACTCAGTGGAGCTATTGCTGCAGGTGTCAAGGGTCATCAAATGAGGCTACTGTGGTAAAAAATGTATGTAACATGGACCCACATTATCTAAAGGGGCAACGGAGAACTGAGAGTTGAACTTATTGTGTAATAAGTATTTCTTTCAATAACTCTCCTCAGACTGTTTTAAACTACATTGGAGTCACCTCTGGGAGGAACTATTGATTGAAGTACTTTATAGACTCATAAAGTAATATACTCACATATTCATACTGCTGTACTGTGTGTGGGGTTTCACATCAATATCACCTTTGAGTGTGTACTTGTTTTTATAGTAGAGTCGGCACAGTCACGTCAGTTTTAGAGAGATTAGCGGTTGTTGACAGAGGAGGGCGAGTTCAGTTAATATGAGCACGTGTGGCTCATAGTGACTAACTGAACCACTCGATTGCAAAATCTCTGGGCACAGGGCCAGCTGAGAAAGCTGTTTTTTATCTGTCAAATTATGTATGCATGCCTACTGTATGTAGGCATCTCTTTGTGTCACTGCAACGCCCCAGGGTTACCTGAGTAACCATGTAAGCAATTTTTTGCTTTATTCTGTCTTCCCAGAATCCCAAGGCTTACTCTCCAGCTGCTGGTTTTGACTATGACATGTCACTCTGCTGTCATAGGTGAGCAGTTCTGTCATATCAGTGCCTCAACAACACACACCGTCGTCTTGGTTTTATAGTGAAACAAGTTAAATCATCCAACTCTGCAGCTCGACAGAACTAAATTCTCTTTAACTTCCTTGAATAGTTCACCATGTTGGGAAATACGTCACTTAATTTGCCTTCCTGCCAAGATTCTTCTCATCCAAATCTCGGTCAAACTATTCATTAACTTTTCCTTTGAAGATCACATCCCCGGTCATATAGTGCACCTGTTTGACAATATATGCAAAAAAAAAAAAAAATTGATCCAGTGATCTTTTCTGCCTGTAAAACAAAATATGACGTGTGCTTACGTAAGCTATTAAAAAACATTTTCAACCAATAATATCATAACATCCATCTATCAATCAATCAATCTGCAACTTTTAGCAACACGTTAGGTGTGTGTGGAGTCACAGTCCTCTGTAGCCCCGTGCATTCTAAGCTCGCACACTTTTTAGCAATCCAATCAAATGTGAAGGATTTGTTTTAATTCCCTCCCTACACCGCTGAAATATTCCATTTCACTGGGGAACACGTCATAATACAGAAGCACTGGGACTTTAAGGCCCATAAATCACGGACAAAACAAATAACTAGCTGGTGAAGAAAGTAACGTCTTTATCGGTAAAAGATCAAAATCGAAACATAAATGGTGTGCTGAAAAACACCCACACACAAGGTGACGATGAAAAGAAGGACCTGTTTATTGCTCACTGTAATGTCACTTTCGATATTGTGAACTTTAGATCCTGTACGACATGAAGGGAACACTATTAGTTGTGTATTTTGCATAAAACTGAAAAGACAAATGATGAGGAACTGAGACAATTCTACTACGTCATAAAGAGAAGCTATGAAAAAAAAAAAAAAAACTGAACAAAAAACCCTTCACACCACCACAGCCTAAAGTAAGAACTGTTTTCTCATCGTTTATTGCTTATGTTTATTTCAAGTTGGAAAATACAGATGGCAAACCTTTTTGTTAATGGTTTTACTTTCTGACGTGCAACATTGACTCAGTAACACTGTACACAACTCTTGTCCCCTCCTTGATTGTATCTTTCTCCGCATATTATTCTGTCAACACTTACATACACGGTGCATTATTTTTATGAAGTTTTTTATTTTTTTCACATTTTCAAAAATGCGTACAACTCATACATTCTGTGAAACACAATTTGCCTGCATTCACAATTTCATACTGTTTCATGGAGGCTTTCCCAGCATGCTCTAACCCTTTCTCTCTCTCACATTTATTTTCTTCCAGATAGTGCTGCTTCGATTCAGCTCAGAGGGGAGGTTGGTGGAACAGTGACCTTCCACTGTCCCATTGACCAAAAAAGGACATTGAAATTGTGGTACATCCAGAAAGGCGAAACATTTGTGAATGGCTACTATGAATCAGAAAACGTATCAGAGCTGTCATGGGAGAACACCAGAGTGGATCTTGACAAGATGACCATACTCATGTACAATTTGAACGTCTCACATAGTGGTGACTATCAGTGCATTATCCGGTACAGTGAGATGAAACCTGAAGCCCATATACACCTGCACCTCAAAGTCACAGGTATGATTTTAAAATGTATTTGCTTGTATGAGTTTTAGGTTTTAAGGAGTTTTAATTTCTAACACTTGAGAATGACGGATTAATACTGTATGTAGAGTACACTGATAAAGGCATTCAGCTCATTTCTAACATTGTAGGTCAAGAATAGTTTTTTTTCACCTGAAAGTGGTGCCAGTGAAAATGATTTGACCAAATCATTATCTGGGTCATTATCAAATACCTGCGCAATCCTAGATGTTTGAGCAATAGTACGGGAGAGATTTTATTGGAATGATAGGAGAAAGTCAGTGCCCAGCATTTGAACTGATTACAGCACGGAAGTATGTGCATAATACCTAGCCAGCTAAGTTTAGGAAATCCTTTACCACTCAGGTATTTAACCTTGATTTTACTGTCAATTGTTGAAGTGGGGATGTGCTGTTTGAGGTAAAAGAAATCTGATTCCCAGACCAATTTGTGACTTGCATTCTCCAAGCCCACTTATTCAGGGTCTGAGCAGTCTGAAGTCCATCCCAGCAGTAGGGAAACTCTGGACAGGTTATCCATCTCAGGACCACTACTGTGGATAGACTTAAATGCCTTCAGTATAATAACAAACAAACAAAATCAACCTTTGCATTAATCCATCACTGTCTCAGTAAAGGTGACTTGTCTGTGAGTTTGTGATCTTAAAACTTAGGGAGGCTCTATGAATATTATTGCATCATTGAAAAGGTGTATGGCTATGCAACCTACAGTACTACTACCTGACAGTGCTCTTTTTTATCCCTGTCTCTTTCTCCTAGCAAACTACATCAAACCTACACTCAAAGTGCACTGCAGTGATGAAAATCATCACTTTAGTTGCCTAGTGAACTGTACCTCACATGGTGGCTACCCAGGCACTGAGGTGACATGGAACATATCGGGGAGTTTGAAGATTGTGAACAACAGTAAAATGATCGATCCACACACCACAACATTCAACATCTCCAGCGTCGCATTCGTCAACTGCTCCGACGGAAATCTGACGTCCCTCAGCTGTTCTGTGGGCGACATCATCTCAGACCTGTTCCCAGTCTGTGAGTAGGCTACCCACTCAAAAGTCCCAAAGGTCCCAAAGGTTTCTCCACCAAATTATGTTTTCAACTTTTACCCCTGGGCAAGTTTTGGGTGAAAGGGAAACTCCTTGGCATAGATCTGTTTTTATGGCTACTGTTAAAGGAATGTGGGAGGGGAGTTTTTGCATCCTGTGGAAGTTAAAGTTTGTGTTTCTGTGTTGAGATTCTAAAGCTTAAACAAGACTAAGCGTCTACAGCCAAACAGGTCTGTGAGGACTATGTTCACCATCTTAGTTTAGCATGTTGGCATGATAACATAAACACTGTTCTCATCTGAAGGTACACCCAAGGATCGTGACACTCCCTATCCTTGTGTGATAACAACAGTAGCCATCTGTGCAGTGGTGGTTGTCAGTATCATGGCGGCATTGCTCGGGTGGTGGTGGCATTGCAAGAAAGGAAAGAGAAGTAAGGACAGATATTAGGTTTGTGACAATGTAGCTGTGCTACACACATTTGCATATCTGTTTGTAAAAATACAAAGATGAAAGTACGAATGACTGAGCATAACAGAGAAAAACTCACAGCAGTTTCTATGTTGGTTTCCAGGAGGACCAGGAGTAGCTGGGAGGCAAGAAAATGGATTTGAGGAGTAAGTGGATGTTTGCAATTGGCAACAAAAATACTTGTAATACTTTGATTACATTCATAAGTAATGTAAAATATAAGCTGATAAAGGGTTCCATGAGGCACAACTGCAATGAAGAAATGTTGAAATTCATGATGGCTAAGTTTTATATCACATCGAAGTCTTGTAACCTCTGACCGAACCCCTCTTTTCTTTTTCTTTTCCATTTTCTCCAGGGAGGAAACAGTCCTCAGTGAAAACTAGGAGTCTTCTTGAGGGCTGAATTGGTTAAGAGGAAGGTCCGATTTTTTTTCACGGACCGTAGAATCTACAACTGAAACTGTAGGTCACGCAAATGTACGTTACATTTGTGACTGACTGCTGCATACAAGGCAGGAACGGCCAAAGTCAATAGTCGGAGACGCACTGGGGACCTCCTGCTCTCAACATTTCACTGACATTTGACTATTTAAGTGTTTAAGGAAGTATTCCTTGTCAGTATTGTTTTACGGGTAATGTACAGTGCATCGTTCAACAGAGAATAGGTTACTTCTCCAAAAAAAAGCTTTTCCACTGGTTTGTGGTGAGAGTGTTGTCGTATACTGGAAAACTGTCTTTTGGGGAAACACCTCCAGCATTGTGAGCAATGAAAACAAAAATGCTGTATGTAAACATTATTGAAATACTGTGTATTCTCTATTGTTGCACTGACCTCTACGGGCAGAAGTGGGATCTGTTCCACATCCTGCAGGTTTCACTTTTTAGACTGTGTTTTATTATTTTTAAATACAGTATAATGTTTTTTTTGCACTTTAAAATTGTATTTTCTTATTTAATGCCCATAATAGAACTGTTAACATTAGTCAGCATATTTTTTAGTTTACTTTAGTTTTACTTTAGCTTTGTCCATCAAAAATGAGGTATCAGCTTTAAAGCTGTGAACAAATATTTATGAATGCAGAAAAGATGGATGTCAAAATAGTTTTTGCACAGGAATTTGTTCTCTGAAGTACACACATTTTCTGCAATAAGTTCTTCGTTAACTGTCATTACCCTTATCAAACTTTTGACGTTTTTCTCTCAGGTGACTGTTCTCATTTGAAATATTGCTATTTTTCTCGATATTTATTTCATTTGGTGTTTTGGTTTCTCATTATCAAATTGCACATCCTTTACACTATTTAATTCTTCCTTTCACATAATTACCAAACAATCTCAGAGGACTGCTTTCATTTTCTGAATCTGTAAGAAACACTCTTGTAATAAGGCTGTTCTGTATCTTATTTCCATACATAGAAATCACTGAAATGTATAATACATTAAAGTTGTGCAATTACTTCTTTATTGTGCGCTGTGAACCATTGCTCTCACTTTTCACTCCACTATATGGTCGGATCACGGTATTTGAACTGCTGCAGTAGATTGTATTTACACTGTTTTAAGACTTGCTCTTTTAGTTACACAAACTGGTAGAAATACAGCATTACCCCAACTCATTTATTTACAATGCAGTTATGTTGCCACTAGATGTCGCACTAGCACCACAGAGTCAAGACAAATCTGCTATTATGGCTGATTGGTCTTGTTAGTGTTGTGTGTACTATAACATCTGAATATTGTACCACATCAATGAGCCAACCTGCAAAAGCAACTCCCTTTCCTCTGGCTCTGGGAATAAAACAATGTCCTATATCAGAGCAATTTGAGCACAATCCTTTTTTAACAGCGATACATGATGTCTCTCTGACCTCAATACGTGGTCACCTGCCAGGAGAAGGACGAGTAGCCCTCCTTTACTGGAGGAAACGAGAAGAGAAACAAGAGGAGGGAGGGGAAGAGATGTCAGACCATGTGCTCATTTGAATGTGTTGAGACAAGAGGGTGTCCTGTCTAACATAGGATATTGCCATCATTAAAGATACACATCTTTGTCTCTATTCCCACCACCACTCTCTCTTGGTCCCATGCTCGTTCTCCTTCTTTGCACTTTTTATATTCATAACACTTCTCCATTTCTCTTCCTCGCTTGCTTTCTCTCTGTCTCATGAGTCACTGTGACAGGCTGTCAGTCCACCTCTCTGCCCTGTGTTTACATTGGGCAGCAGAGCAGCACCAGGCTGGTTGCACTCCAGGAATGTAACCCCCAAGGTCCCTGCCCTCCTCCTCCTCCTCCTCCTCCTCCTCCTCTTTTTCCTTCTGCCTACATCCATCCTTCCCAGATTTTTCTTTCCCACCTTCATTCTTTTATCCCCTCATTGCACAAATTCACTTCTTCTCGTTCTCCTCACTTCTGTTTTTTCTTCCATCGTTTTCCCCTCCACTCCTCTCCTCCCTCTAATGATCCTCCCCTCTGCTCCATCAGTCCCCTTCCTCTCCCTCTGCCACCTTTCTCTCCTCTTTTCTAACCCATGCTTCCTGTCCTCTGAACCTCCACTCCCCTTCTCCCTCGTCTTTTTCTATTCCCACTTTAAAAATCCAGAGAGCATTGTCCAAACTCGCCCCCCCCCCAATTCCCTGTCATCATCCCCTCACCTCCCACTCCTCCCCATCTCTCTGTCCTCCCTCCCTCATTCCTTTGCTGTCTAACCCAAACAAACCAGGGAGGACTTTGCTCTGTGGTGGCTGTGGGAGAAACACACCACATGTCAGACTTGGTTTAAACATAAACATTAGTCAATTTGAGGTACTGGAAAAGGATATGAGATGCTTAAGTTTGACATGAGATAGAGCTACTATAAGGAAATCTTAACGCTAAAACTTACCACAGAATATACAAAAATCAGAGCAGAGAACTGTATATTTTGGTGTATATTGGCAAAAGTATATTCCAGGAATGGGGTAACTGCATCAAAAGACTGAAGCCAATGGAGTGCACAGAAGAACAATTTAAAAAGTACATTTCCCATTGATATATATGATGAACAAAGCACCTAATTAGTTTGAAACAAAAGCTGTTAATACCTTTTGTATTAGTTGATGAATATCATTGATAAACTTACTTTATAAATCAATAAAATAGATTGTGAGATTGCAAACAAATATCTTTAGAGATGGAAACGCTGGTATTTGAGATACTGACTAACTTACGCTCATTCCAAAAGGTATTAAGCATGCAATAACAACATTTTTCATTTACACATTATGGGTCAAGACAAAGAAAGTAGATCTAATACTTATGAACAATCTACGCACACTATTCTGTTTTCCATGTTTTCCAGTGACGCAGCAGAGTGTGTAATCTCCTGCTTATTGGAGAACCTTTTCAGTCAGAACAGTCTGGTCTCAGCAAGCGGCATGCGACCTCTGCCACACTGTGCTGTTTGGCGTCCATACCAGGGGATTTATAATCAGATTATACTAGTTATGAAAGTCAACTAGATTAGTTTTAGTGCCGGGAGCCGGAGCACAAGGCATCAATTCACAGAGGGTGAGCGGAGCTGATCAGCATGAGGGAGATTGGACTAATGTTCTCAAAATAACACCAGATAATTCAGTCTCTGAATCTTTTTATTGTATGCCTGTGTGTGTGTGTGTGTGTGTGTGTGTGTGCATGTGTGAATGTGTGTTTGGTGTAGAAATGCAAACAATGCAGGAAATAGTGTAACCCTCAACATTAATCAAATTTGAATTCAGCACCAGAAAACATAACTTTTGATTTATTTGTTTTTACAAGACCTTCTAGTATGCTCCCGTCAAATGCAATTCATTTTGTGTACATTTTAGTACCTTTTGTAGACTGGGGAGGTTGGAAGGAGCAGAACGAGGCAGATAGAGCAGAGACAGCGAGGGACCGGGCAGGTCAGGAGGTTCAGCTCTGGTGCTTCAGCTGAGTGATCATGTTGTTGCTGTCACTGCAGAAACCCTCTCCCTGACCTCCAGAGACAGGAGAGGTGACCTGGAAGCATTTATCACCTCTGTGCTTTCTGACCCATGACCTGAGGCCTGAGATAGGGAGAAGAACACTAACACACCAGAGAGAAGAAGGAGGAGATGAAAAAAGGCATGGGGAAGGGGTGACCAATGCAACAATACATAAGTAGCTATTTGTTATACTAAATTTGTAAAACAGAACTGTTTGTTATGTTGCTCAGGAGCAGAATTTGCACATTTCTTGAAGAAGTCATTTAGTCATTTAAATTTATAATAACAGCTTCATGAAACTGTTGGAAACCAGTATGGACTTTGTGAGTGTGCATCAATGGCAATATTTCTCTTGGTCAGAAGATGAAAACATTGCCGGTGTTTACTTGTGGGCCCGCTTTTGGTCGTGCCAAAAACCATCAACAGAGACTTGAAAGAGCTTAAAACAAGTCTGGAGAGAGATGTTTGCTGGCTTGGAGCCCAATAGAACTATTGACACCTCTCTGTAATGGCGACACACCAAAGGAGTTCTTGGCCAAGGCCTTTTCATCTAGGCCGTGACCCAATACCTAAAGTTGTGTGTGTGTGTGCGTGTGTGTGTGTGTGTGTGTGTGTGTGTGTGAGAAATTGTACAGTAGACATTGTTCTCAGACAGGTGATCACGCTGAAGCCGACTGTCCCGTGGGAGGATCGTATGAGGTGAGCCAATGGGAAGAGCATGAGGGATTGGTGGGTAGGGTGCCCAGTTGTCTGCAGACGGTTGGCAGCCTCATGTTTCTGCAGAGGCTGAACATCAAAGACTGTCAAAAGTATTTGTAATGCATGTCGTGTAAGACTGCGAGTGACATCACACTATAACGAGATATTTGTTGCTTACTACAACATTCTATGTCTTAGTTGCTGGTCCACAGTACTTTTCTACTGTGTGATAACAGAGGATGGATGTTCTCATTCACAGCCCACTACTGTGGAGACTCCACTTCTGGATACTGTGACATTTTCTGTTACACTGTAAGCAACTGCAAGGCCATGAATTGCAGACACTTGGCTTATTTGCTTCATGCACATAAATAAGGAAGACATTGTAGATAAAAGAGACAGTATGGTTTTGTTGGTTGGAGACAAGCCAATGAAAATGAAAGAGATGAATTAACCAAATTTGGTCCATAACGTGTTTCTTCTTCTGGATTACCAGCGCCAAGATATTATATTGTTTGAATTATCAATAATCAAATCAAGAAGTGTAATGTTATCAAATCTTTTCAGATGAACAAAATAACATCCTCAATTAATAAAGATCGCCAAATGTTTGTTAGCAAATGTGCAATTATATAGTAAATACTAAGTTATGGCACTGAAAGATGATCAAGCCGTTTGCTGTGTGTGTGCATGCTGGTTTGTTTGTGGATGCATGGGATCTATGAACTCTGGCAATGGCTGTTGAACCAGCTGTGTGACATGTATCCAGTTATTTCCTGAATTACAACAGTAATTCTGCATATCAGCTGCTGCAAGAAGATGTGAAATACATTGTTTAAATAGTGTGTTCTATGTGTGCTCAGACCTGAGCTGTCGATGAAGGGGACACAACTGAAACTGAGAAAAGACGTGAAGAAAAGTGGCTGACATGCTGTGCAAGCTGGGGATACTTGACACCGACAGGTCCCTACGGCAACCTCCACTTAAATTTATCTCGACACCCCAGACGTGGTGAGGGACTTGAGGAAGGACTGGATGTACAGACGCTGAGGTGGCTGAAATATAGACAAAAAAGGCAATTTATATACAGTAGAGCCATTTTTTGACTTTGTTTTCCTTCTCGATTTATCAGAGCAATGACCTGTGTGTAAGCATGTGAGAGACATGACGATGCATGTGTTTGTACGTGTGTATTTGCGTGTGTAATAAGAGACACCTGAGACGGTTAGAAGGTCATTCCTGGAGTCTGGTCACATAGCTTTGATCATTTTCTCGTCGCCTCAGAAATAGACCAGCGAGGACAGAGTGGCCACAAACTCTCCCTCTTTACGTGTGTGTGTTTCCAAGGGAGAGAGCTAGCTCAACAGCCTGGCAGGGAATCCACACTTGTTTGTAGTGCACAAGCCTGTGTTTGCATGACTGCACTAATGCATTTGCACTCATACCTTTGTTTGGTACCGCTTGCATTTGCTGTGTGAATATGTTCATGCGCATGCATGCAAATATGTGTGGGGGCAGTGTGTGTGTGTGTGTGCACTCATGTGAGTGTTACGAGGTGTGATCGTGGTTTAAATTCTTAAGTTGTCAGAACAATAAATTCGAGCAAGAGTCTCAGATCAGATTCTGAGAGCTGCCCTACATCATACTATTACGCACTGTTTATATGCAAATAATTACATGTGATAACGATTTTACTCATTTCTATGTGAACAAGAAAATACTTAAACACATCAATCTGTTGATCAATTCAATCACTCTGACCACGGGTTGTTAATGGGGTGT